GCCCAAGATTCAAATGATAAACTAAAGCTGTATTAATAGTGCCTATAGCAGACTAAGTAGAGTAGAGCTGGTGTGATACAGTGGATTCAAAGTCCTCATGTCAGATGTGGGAATTTGGATAGATAAAAGTATTTATGGTCCAGTAGTGTCTATGTCATATTGCACCATACTCTGTATGTGTTAGGAACAATTGTCTCCTTAAGGTCCCATTCAGTCCATACATAAAATTTATAATACCCATAAGTCATAAGAAAGTCTAACAATAAATATGCAAAAAATTAATACCAGTATCAGCAAAAAATTAAGCACCACTCTTAGCTCCTTGGGGGGAGAACTGGTATAATAATATAGTTGATATTTGCTCACCAATACGTATTCTAGTTTGGCACCATTTTATGCAAGGGTTACTTACAGTATAGCTACTTACTTTTCTATGTAAAAGGGGGGGGGAGAAACAATTCTATATTGTCTAGGCATCAACTCTTGTTATAATTTCTTTTTAAATTATAAACAAACTGCCTTTGATTGGAGCTGTTTTGCTTATTTGCCTATTCCCACCAATTCGACAAGTATACACCTCATTTTTCAGCCTCATTTTCTTGTTTTTGATTTTTTTTTTTCCTGTAAAAAGAGTTGGGCTAGATTTTGGACCAAATTATATAGATGCACACCCTCAAAATGTCATGTAACAGAAGACTAATTCATCCGTGTGTGTGGTACACGTTGTAGTAAGGTATTCAGCACCATGTTTGTGGACAAGCTCACAGTTTTTGCATTTAGTTATCAAAATGTAGACTGAACTTTGGAATCTTTCTAAACTCCACAAAAGCCAATAATCATTCTGGGTGTATTAAGTCCAATGATGCAGAATATTCATGCATCTATCATATTTAGGTGGTGGCCCCTAAACTTCCCTATGCAGAACAAAATAATAGTGAACTGGTATGGGGAAACAGTTCTATGGTTTTTTTGGGGGGGCAGGGGTACAAAAACATCAGGTACCTCTGCAGCATTATCAACATTTCCTCATATTTGGGAGCAGTTTACAGCTGTACAAATTCTATAATGCATCTAAACAAACAAACAAGACCTCGTCACACATAATCAAAATCACACTACTGCACAAAGTTTTCCTCAGAGCTCTGCAATCATACTTCACTCCCTTGGAAATCAATTATGCACAACAAACTTCCAGTGGATTGGGACCATTAGGTTGTCTCCAGTGTTGGTCCTACTTAGAGTAGACCCATTGAACTGAGGGGCCTAATTTAGTCATGCACTTTAATTACAGTGGGCCTAGGATTAACATTCACTACAACCGAATGGTTTGAGACAACTTTTTCTTTAGGCAACAACCTATCAACCAAAAGTTAAGAATGCACATTATTTTATCACCAATCTATAGCTGGCAATGGTTGCCTGTCACAAAGCTTATAACACTACAGCTTTTTTATTTTTTAAAAAATCAGCAAATATTATATTAAAAATGGAGGGGGTGACTGCTTGTAATTGCTCATAATAATTTATTTCATATATTATGCCCAGTGCTCTTTTTAAATTATTTATGTGATGTTTTTAAGCTTGCATTTTACTAATTTCCTGTTGCCAGTGTGGTATTTAGCATCTAATTTTCAATTGTTGCTATGGCATTTGGCATCAAGTCCTAATAAAGCTACTGGAGAAGCACACATTGAACTTAATAGGCTTTAGCATGGTTCCCAAGTTGTTCAAATGAGATGACTTATCTTGCACATTAAGTAGCTCCTGTTCATTTATCATAATGCCATTGATTTTATGTCTAGACAGCCTCCCATTCTTCAACAAAATAAAAATTACCTCATCTGACTTAATATTTCACCGTAATATTGATGATGCATACTTCCAGTGTTCATAATCCTGCTGCCATAAGTTGACAAAATAGCAAGGGAAAGCTACATAGTGTATTGCTTACTTACAAATATGCCACTAGGTTTATGAAACTAACCAAAAGCAGTATCAAAACTTTTTTTAAAAAGTCAGTGGATATATCTGAATTCTATTTTTATTTTCTAACTTTTATAGCCCACATTTCTCCTGCCACAGAACCCAGGGCAGCATACATGCGTTCCTAGGTGGTCTCCTATCCAGGTAGTGGCCAGCACCAAACCTTCATAGCTTCAGCAAGGTGGTAGACAACATGGCATCCTTCACATGTTGTGGACTACACCTCTCATCACCCATGATCATTGGTCAATGGTTGAGGATGATGGGAGTTGTAGTCATGGGCATTGCCAGGATTTGGGGGATCCACCACAGTTGTTGAGCTTTCTTTGATGTGGCAGTTAATGAGTGGTACATTTTCATCAGCCAAGATGTACTATTTTCGATAATTGTTGGTGTATAGCAGTCAGTATACCCCCATGTGCACGTACCAAGGAGGAGGGAAGAGAACACTATTGTGACATGGGATGATCCCTTTTTGTGTACACAGCTGTGTTTATACTAGGAGAGATTACAGCTTTTGATATGAGACAAACCCATTTTTGTTGTTCTGTAAAGGAGCTTGTACAGTGATGTGTGGTGTGATGGTTAGGGTGTTGAACTAGGACCTGAGAGACCATGGATCACATCCTTACTCGGCAATGAAACTCACCAGATGGCCTTGACCAGCCTAACCTACCTCATAGGGTTGTTGTGAGCAAAATATGGAGAAGAGGAGAGTCATGTATTCCACCTTGAGCTCCTCTGAGGAAAGGCAGGATATAAACAATGGGGGGGGGGACATATAGGTTAGTTGATCAGGAAGAATTCTGTTCTTTGGGGGGCAGGGGAACAGTAGTTGATTTGTACCATACTTGCTATATTTGAGTTTGAACTTCATTTTCCCAGCTCATTACATTGACTGTGTTTTAATCATAGTGACTTAAATTTGATTATATCTTGAAAATTCTTGCATAGGTGAAAGAGATGGAGGAATTTCTGTTGTACTACATCTTTTATATTTCCATTCTTCCTGTTCCCGTTCTATATAATGATGTTCAAATTGTTCTGTTATAGTGATGGATGTGATGAAGAAGCAAATTAGGTGCACAGGAACAAAGCCAGCTTTTAATGCCAGTTAAAAATTGGAGATGTACCAACAGAGATTACTGAGATGTACTAAATATTTAACACTACGGAGAAAGAAAGGGGTTTTATTCATTCACAAATTACTTCACAAAGACAGAGTTGTATCTGGAAATATTCCTAACACTGTCCGTACAGTACTTTGCTGTCTTGTATGGGGAATGAAACGTAACTCACAACAGAAGAGATGTCTCATCTGCATGCAGAATCTCCTAGTAAAACAAAAAAGTAAAAATAACCAATATTTCTCCTGACATTAAATAATCCAAGGGAAATACTGGAAACATATTTTGTTGCCTTCTTTAAACGGGAAATATAGATTGCAAGCCACTAAAACAGTAGAAAATAAGAACAATCTTATTTTGAAAGAGAGCTGCCTTGCAGTGTAACATTAATACAGTGAAGCTGCTGTGCGAGACATCAACAATACTGTACTCAGAGCTCCCCCAACCCTGATAGCTGTGGGGCTTTTCTAACTTTTTTTTCACAGGGAGGGAACACTTCCGGCTCTTGCTACATGAATGCTTATTAAATTGGATCCCTGCTGGATCAGAGCAAAAACCAGTCTAGTCCAGCATCCTTTTCTTACAATGGCCAACCAGATGCGTATGGAAAGCCTGCAAGCCTGTTTGACTGCAATTTCCCACAAGTTGAACTAAGGTCCCATTGAAATCAATGAGACAAATTAGTCATGACTTAAGACCCATTTATTGCGATGGGTATTAAGTTCAACTAACCTATAGCACAATCCTGTCTACTCAGAGATAAGCTCCACTGAGCTCTATTGGACATACTCCCAGATGAGTATGCCTGAGACCGCAGCCAATGTACGTGGGTACTTGCTTGCACCTATGTGTCGTTGGAAACAAGATAGCTTAAAATGACCAATTTCCCAAAAATATGTATAAAAGGATATGTATTTTTTGGTACTTCATGAGTCCAAACTGAAATTCAAGGCAGAACACAGTTTGCTTTGGTACTTTTCATGGAAAACAGAAAATTACTGTTTTCTCTGAAGGGGAGAAATTGCATTTCCAAATGCTGCACTTCGGTAAATTCATTGAGCGTAACATTTTCTCACGTAATCTTAAGGCTGTCCATTTTCTTTCAGCTTTCAAATAATTGAACTAAGTGATAAAAAGTGAAATGCTGAAGAATGTTGAGCTTCTTTCTCTTCCCCCACCTCTATACTTCTTATGCTGTAACTGAAAATGATTTAAAGACTGTGGAATATGTCAGGTGATAGAACATTTCTCGGAACATGTGTCTTACTGTCTATTGTACACAATAGCTAGCATCTGAAATTTTAAAACTTTATGGAATGGAACATTGCAGTTAGGCTATTGGCCTCACTGTAATGTCCATTCCTGGGGCACTATATCCAAGTGCTCTGTCTCACCAGGTCAACTGCAATGCCCCAGTGGAGCTGTATGGTGGTTAAAGTGTTGAGCTACAGCCTGAGAGGCCAGGATTCAAATCCCCACCTAGCTATGAAACTCATTGGGCACCCTTGGGCTGGTCACTGCCTCTCAGGTTAACCTACCTCACAGGGTTATTGTGATGATAAAATGAAGAAGGGAGAAATCATGTACACTCCTTGAATGAGAGATAATTGTGCATATGTGTGCGCGCGTGTATGCGTGTGTGTTGTGTACGTGTGTACACACTCACAAAATATCTACCAAAACTATGCCATCACATATATTTCTCTAATTTGACAAATGTTAATGATTGTTCATCTTAAGAATATGGTCTGATTTATACATATGTTTGAAGTTGGTGGATTTTTGCCAAAGCCGGTATGACTTGAACCCAAACATCACTCCCACTGGTGGGAGCATCCTCTGAGCAGACAGATTCTTTTGCTGATTTTCCCTCCTAGACCACAAGGTCCTATGAAAATATTATGTGACAGGTTGGAGGACCCTCCAGAACACTGGGAGCTGCATGGGGAAAGGGAAATTGGCGTGAGTTGCCTTGGTCACCCACTTCCACCATCAAAAGGCCAGTGTGGGCAGAAGGAGCTCTTCTGTTTGCAGAGGGTGAAGTTTTGATCCAACCCCAGTTGTTGTTCTCCAACTCCCATCAGCACTGGCCATCATGGCCAGTAGGCAGGGATTATGGGAACTGTAGTCCAGCGGCATCTGAAGTCCCAGAGATTCTTCATCCCGGATCTTGCATGAACTAATCAGGGTGACTGGGTAAAGCAGATCTTGTCTAATTGCAGTGAGATGAATATGATGACCTAAAACCTATTAATGCACTATTTCTGAGGATGAACTTCAAATATCCATTATGATTTGCTAACCACATTTTTTTTGCTTATTTTTGTTTTACAGATTTTGGCCATTGTATCTATTTTGTTCATTGTGCTGTCCACCATTGCTTTGTCACTCAACACTCTACCTGAGCTTCAAGTAATTGATGAATTTGGACAACTAAATGACAACCCCCAGCTAGCACATGTAGAAGCTGTGTGTATAGCTTGGTTCACTATGGAGTACCTTTTGCGTTTCCTGTCATCTCCAAACAAGTGGAAGTTCTTCAAAGGTCCATTAAATGTGATTGACTTGCTGGCCATTTTACCCTACTATGTCACCATTTTCCTCACAGAATCCAACAAAAGTGTGCTGCAGTTCCAAAATGTCCGCCGTGTTGTTCAGATATTCCGTATTATGAGGATACTCAGGATCCTTAAACTTGCCAGACACTCAACAGGCCTTCAGTCTTTAGGATTCACACTCAGGAGGAGTTACAATGAATTGGGTTTATTGATATTATTTTTAGCAATGGGTATCATGATATTTTCCAGTCTTGTATTTTTTGCTGAGAAAGACGAAGATGCTACAAAGTTTACTAGTATTCCTGCATCATTTTGGTGGGCCACCATCACTATGACTACAGTAGGCTATGGTGATATATATCCTAAGACTTTACTAGGTAAAATTGTTGGAGGATTGTGTTGCATTGCTGGAGTGCTGGTAATTGCTCTACCTATTCCCATCATAGTAAACAATTTCTCTGAGTTTTATAAGGAGCAAAAACGGCAGGAGAAAGCCATTAAACGAAGGGAGGCACTTGAGCGAGCAAAAAGAAATGGAAGCATTGTCTCAATGAATCTCAAAGATGCCTTTGCCCGCAGCATGGAACTGATTGATGTAGCCGTGGATTCCGGTAAGACTGAGGAAGCAGCCAACTCCAAGGAAACCCCTGACGATAACCACTTATCTCCAAGCCGGTGGAAATGGGCCAGAAGGACAATGTCAGAAACAAGTTCTAATAAGTCCTTGGAGAATAAATATCAGGAAGTGAGCCAGCAAGATACCAACGAAAAGCTCAACAATATTGTCACAGCCTCCAGCCCCCAACACTTGAGTGCTCAGAAACTCGAAATGTTATACAATGAAATTACTAAAACTCAGTCTCAGCCTAATCTCAACGCCAACTACCAAGGCCCGTCAGCGAAACCTCCCTTATATGAGGAGGAAATTGAAATGGAAGAGGTTGTTGGGCAAGGAGAACCATCCATGTCAGGGGCCAGGGACATAGTGACGGACATGAGAAGCATTTCCAGCATTGATAGCTTTGCCAGCTGTGCAACCGATTTCACTGAGACAGATCGGTCTCCCTTGCCCCCATACTCTGGTTCTCACCTGCAGCTAAGGTTCCCACCCGACTCTGTCCATTTGGAAGACCAAAGAGCAAAGAGTTCTCAGTTTTTATCACACACCAAGGATAAAATGTTTGCCCCCAGAGACGTCACCTTTGAGTACTCCCCAGTTGATACAGCCATGAACATGGATAACGCTGGCTCCCAGTCTCTGCTTCATGGCCCTTTGCACTTTGACAGCTCCATGTTAAGTCCCAAAAGTTCTCTCAAAGGAAGCAATCCATTAAAAGCAAGGTCCCTTAAGGTTAATTTTAAGGAAAACAGAGGTGGCGCTCCACAAACGCCACCGAGCACTGCAAGGCCACTTCCAGTAACAACGGCGGCAGATTTCATGCAATCCACCCCTCCTCAGCATATCAGCACTATTCTCTTAGAAGAGAATTCACCACACGGCGACAGGCCCTTGGTGGGTGCTGATGCCTCCCTGGTTTGCCAGAGCATTCCTAAGAAATCATCCCCTTCTCTGTTTCCAAAACAAAAGCTTTTTACTTTCCCTTCCAAAGAGAGGAGAAGCTTCACTGAAATGGATACCGGAGAAGAAGACGACTTCATGGAGATTCCTGGAATCACAAGACATGACAAAGAGCAGGATATCAAGACAAACTGCTATGGGGAAAAACACAAAGATGGGAACCATTTAACAGAAGAGCCTCGAGTCAGCTCTTCTTCCCCCAAAATCTTGGGGCAAAACTGTACACAAGACATTTACTGTGCCGGGGGGGATGTAAAAGGGGACAATAGCCAAGAAGGTCACAAAATGGAAAACCACTTGTTTTCCCCAGAAATCCATACAAATCCTGGAGAAACTGGCTACTGTCCCACACGGGAAACCAGCATGTGACTAGTCAGGAGAGCAATAATGACAAAAACTGATTTCTTAAAACCACAATTAGTAATGCCTATGAACTAAAACATGGGAAGCCTCAGAAGTAAAAAAAAAAATGTTATTTTTGCATGGCATGAAGAGTTGATTAGTTTAAGTACTGTTTAATTTAAAAGTGGAAAATCTGCTTTTTTTGTAACAAAACAGGAGAAAAAATCAGTTAAAAAAATGATGCAAGAACAGTGAGTAAAATAAAGAGCTCTTTTAGGAGCCCATATTCTGCAACGTCTGACATTTTTGGTCCTTTCACTAATGATTGTAGATAAGTCTTTTTTTAAAAAAAAATATTTTAACTCTTTTTGCTCTTGGTTATAATGAATTTTGGGAATTTGCACATGAAAGGATGAAATGCCGATGCATGTGTTCATAATGGTGTGAAACAAGGTGCTTTGAGCCTGCAAAATGCATACATTTGTAAATAGTTTGGGTTTGTGGGGAGATCTACAGTTATCAACTATATATGGAAAATACGTTTCCCGGGACACAGGTACTTCCTTCACAGTTTGCTGCCTGGAGGATTTGTACAGACTTATGTTGCAAAATTGCAACTTCTTCTTAAAGCATCTCACCTATCTTGCTTTCTGTTTAAAAGCTCATAAAGTATAAGCTGTTTGTTTAAGTAAATGACAGTGTTTTCTCATCTATCTGTGAAGTAAATCATAGCTCAAATTCTTTTTATTTGCATAGATTTCACGGATAAATTTGCAAGTTTTGAGTAAAATTCTATTTAGACTGTGCAAGATTTAATGACCAGAAATTGAAAACTTGATATAAGAACTGCCAAAATCAAAACAAAGACAAGGACACCATTACGTTACATAATAAAATTATTTCTATGGCAATAAAATGTGCCAAATGGCCATGAAAAAATGATTATTTTATATTTAAAAGCTCAAAAGTTTGTATTACAGTTACAGTTGCTGTATGCCCTATTGTTAATATCTTATTTTTTTTAATGAAGTTTTTGTGGTTGTAAGTTTGCTTCTAAAATCTCTTTAGGAGTGCTGTGGCTTTTGTCCACCACTTCTTTACCACTAGGCGCCCCAATTTTATATAACTTATTAATTTCAGAATACCAACATGATTACTCTTTCTTGAATCAACAGACAAGGATTGCTGCTTTATGAGCAAAGTTGGAAAACTCAGAGTAGACAATCTTTTCATTATGCCCAGCCTCTACTTCAATTTTGCAAAAGTGGTGTTTTATACAGACTTTGCTGTGGGCAGTTTTGCTCTATCGGGTTTTTCATATCTAATTATTGCAATTAATTAACAAATTAACAAAATCATTTGAAACTTCTGTGGATTTCTTCTTCTTCATGCTCTTCCATCACATGCATTCTATGTTAATCAATAGGATAAAAGCTCTCCTGCAATAAGATAAAACAGCATGTGAACGGAACTTTCCAAATTGTGTACCTTTTACCCAAATTCCAATAATTTCACTAGAATAATTATTTCTGCAAATTTAAAGAAGCTGTTCAATGCATTAAAAACATTTTCAAATCACAAAACCATATTGGACCTAATAAGCTTAATAATTTTAATTTTCTAGTAAAAGCAATATTCTAATTTGGGGGGGAGAGTTCTTCAACATAAAATCTTACCCACTTACACTGATTTGACTCAGTACAGACCACTTAAAATTCATGTTAGCTTCAGCAGAATAATTTCTAATATAGCTGAGCAGAATTCAAAATTTCTCATATGCTTTCTTAAAGGAAATTTTCCTTTAATTTCCTTTCCTTTTTTCTTTTCCTTTCTTTTTTCTATTTGGATGCAACAGCTTTCAAAGAGAAAACTGGGCCTTATCCTGTAGCCCTCAGGTTTTGCTTTTGTAAAGAAATGTCATAATCATGTATTTAATATGTGTCTTTTGGACCAAATACCAAGCACAGCAAAAGTCATCTTAATTTTTTTCCAATTCTTAGACCCTTTTTAATACTTGCCTTTGTTTTTAAATACAGTATCTCCAGATATTTCTCTTAAGAATTAATAATGCAGTTAAATGTCATTTCTTAAAAAACAAAAAACAATGTCTGGTCATTAGGTCTCAAAATATGCATTTGTTCTTCATGGCTGTCCAGGTAATTATATTTCTGCATATGATTTAAGTTAATTATGTGGCATTCTGCTTAATCCTTTTCAATGACCTCCATTTTATTTTATGAACCTCCTTTGTTTATGTCTCTTGTTTTATTGATAGATATTCCCATGACTGAGACTAAATGCTAACTAGCTTTTAAAAGACATTGCTCTGTAATTTCTGTACTTTTTTAACACCATGCTGCCCTATTTGATCTGTCTTCATAATGACAACCATATAAAGAACAAAACCAAAGGCTAAATGAAACCTTGGGCTTCGGTTGAAAATGGGAGGTTGGTCACTGATTTCAATGAAATCCTAGTTTCATTCATAATCCTTACCCAGGGAAAACACTTGTTGGCTACCATGACTGTTCTATCATGAGCTATAGGTGGAAGGATCCAAAGCTAAAATATGCTCTTTTCATATGTAATAAACCATTCCTATCTTCAGAGCCCTGCTGGTGTACCATATGAGATACATGTTGACGTTCCTTCCCATTGGCTAGTACTGGCTTAAGTCTACATATGTGTCAAGACTTTGGATTGTATCCGGTGTTAGCTATACTCAGAATAGACATTGAAATCAATGAACATGACTTAGCTTAGGTCCATTTATTTTATTGGGTCTATCCTGAATAAAACTTAGTTGGATGCAACCTTTTGTCTCCCAAACTACATCCATTAAGCAATAATTTGGAAGCCCTTTGCTACTGGATACAAAAATGTTCTAAGCTTATCTGAATCTGACCTCACATATGTTGTTAGGAGTAATTCCATTTGTGCCACACACAAAAATGATCATTAACACAAGAGGATGCCTTTGAGGCAAGCTCAAGAGCATGAACCTATTTTTGGATAGTGGAGAAAGAGAAGGTGTTTCATTTATTTTCATACATAAAGGGTAAGATACATTGTGTCCTCTTCCTAAAATGGGTTTAAGAACTGAAGCTTTACTAAAGATAGCATACCATCTAGATAGCCTGTAAGTAACTATATGTTCTACACTTAGTCCAGGGTAGCGAATATGGTGCTCAAGTGACATTGTTGGACTCCAACTCCCATCCACCCCTGTCAGTATTGTCAGTGGTCAGAGATTATGGGAACTCTAGTCCAGCAACATGCAGAGGGCACCATGTTGGCTACCCTGTGACAGAGTGTTCCTTTCTATCTTATGGAACAACGACATCTGACATCACATTACCACTCCATGTTCATTATGGTTCTACAACATCACATAAGTCATTGTTTGTACTTCAAAAGCAAACTCAAATTACAGGTAAAAAAAACAGTGGCACCTTAAAGACTAACAGATTTTTATTATGGCATAAACTTTGTGTCCTGACTAATGCATAGTTTTGGTAACAGCATTTCCAGTATTTGGTCACAGTAAACTTGGAAAGGAAAGGAAAGGAAAGGAAATGGAAAACAACTCTCACACTACAGGAAGAAACACAGCAACAAGAGGGAGAAGGAAAGGCAGAGTACCTGTGAGTACCTAAGGCATGTTTAAAAACATACTACTGCTATGTTTAATTACCTGTTGCTTGTATAGTAAGGTAACTATTGTCACAAAAGTCAATGTTAAGACTTTTGTTCCAACCCTATATTGCTTGCCCATCCACCACTATTCTTGAAACCAACATAAAAAATCCCATTCATTGCTGTTTGGGGATTGCCTGCTAAGACTGCCATCCTCTGGCTAGCTTCACCAACTGAATCCAAGTGTGATGTAGCCAAAAATGGTTGCATACTAAGAGTTTAGCAAGGATGCTCTTCTAGCTATATGACATTATAAGATAATAGTATATTTTTCAGCAGTGCTAGTCTAGGGTTCTCTTCTGCCCCATTTTCCTAAAGGGGAGACAAATGTATTCAAATATGCTAAGGGATATATTTAATAACCTGTGACTCTTTGCCACAAGTTTTCCAAAGCAACTCATTTCTCTCTACTCAGCTGATCACTGATTTGGCACTTGATCACTGATTTGGCTTTGTTCTGTGATAACTGGGAGGTGGTGTTGCTGGCAACTCACCAAGCTGAGATCGGCTGTGTACAATTGATAAATAGCTTGTCAGAGACTTGGAAGCGTTATTGTTCAGCAAGCATTGCCAGTGGTGGACACATTCACGTTTTGTGTCCCACTTTGATGTTCAAACCAAGTTTACACCTTTCTGTAGTGATATGTGATGTGCTTAATGCAGTTTAATACATAGATTTTCTCAGGGACAAAAAGAATTTGCACTGAATTATTCCAATGAAGCAAGCTGCAAAAGCTTGCTTACATTACAGCCGCCTGCCTAAGCTCCATTGGGTTCAAGTTCAATTGCAGCCTTACAAAGCAATCCAGCCTCCCAAACCTGGCCCACTGTGATGGAAAGAGTATGGATGTGGCAGAAGTGTCCCTCTGCTTGGCTCCGCTGGCAGCATCCTTCACCACCACAGATGTTCCCCTGGGACCTGCTGAAAGCACAGGCAGGCAGACGCTACTACCTCTGGTATCCCTGCCAGTGGTAACTAGTAGAAACTCCTGAAATGGGACATTTCTGGGGAAGGGAGGGGTGAGAAAGGGATGGAGCTGGGTCAGCCAAGGATTTGCTGGATTCAAAACCAGTCCAGGTACCAGCAGTGACTCTAATTTGGGCCTCTCTGCTATACCAGAGCTGGCGGAGGGATTGCCCTCACTTTTCACCTAGGACAGCATGAGAGGCAGGTGCTTTGGATGTGGTGGCTCCTCTCCTTCCAGGAGGGAGTTAAAATGGTTCCCTTAGTGGGTTTCATGCTCTTAATTTGTTTTTGGAACAAGGCAGTGCAAATTTATTTATTTATTTAAGCCCAGAAAGACTATACTTTGCAATTGTTTTGAGCACAGCGCATGTAAAAAAAATTTCTCCCCAAATCAGCACCTGCTTGGCTTCCTTCCTTTTTTAGCTTTTTCATGTTGGGATGCTGCCCATCCCCATTTCCTGCAGGTTTCTGTAGCACAGGCGTCCTCAGACTCGGCCCTCCAGATGTTTTTGGCCTACAACTCCCACGATCCCTAGCTAGCAGGACCAGTGGTCAGGGATGATGGGAACTGTAGTCTCAAACCATCTGGAGGGCTGAGTTTGAGGAAGCCTGCCAGGTGCACAGAAGTATGCCTGGCATTTTCGTAATAGCTGGGGGTTTGTTTCAATGTGCTGACGCCTAAAGGCTACTTTCTTGTATCCCCCCTATGTGCCTGAGCACTTTGGGGACTTTTGTTTAGGGACTTGACTCTTCCCATTCCTCTTTTACATATGCATAAGTATCAAGCTACTAATCTTTGGTCAAGCCCAGTGTCATAGCAGCAGTGAAATGGAGGTTCTTCCAGATAAACAAATATGTGCATGCCACCTTGGCAGCTCACTTACTATGAGAAATATCAGAAGAGCTGCACACACCCCTTTCCCCCCACCTTTGCTTCTTAAAGCACAGCACAAACACACAGAGAGAAAGGTGCCCTGAGGATCAACAAATCCCTGGAATGTATTGCAACACAATATGAAAAGCAAAACTGGCAAATCACATCACACACACACACACACACACACACACACACACACGTGGCGTTCTTTCTGTTCATGCATGAATCTGTTTGGATCCTAGCCAATGCAGCCTCTCACCTTTCTTATAACGAGTGAGCAATCTTCAAAGAGGACACAGTGGTCTAAGTAATTGCTCCCAGTGACAGAGTGTAGCACTCAAAATACTGTTCATTAAGTGTCAAACTCTACTGAGACAGCAAGCAGTATTAGTATGGAGACAGCAATTCTGTACACTCACATTATGTAACAAGGTGATCAGCCTTCCACAGTCTGGGGCCCTCCAGATGCTGTTGGACTCCCATCAGCCTTAGCCAGCATGGCTAATGGTCAGGGATTATGGGAGTTGTAGTCCAAAAATATTATAGGCATAGGGCTGATCAAAATCCAACTCCACAGAAGCCACAGCTGGCCATGAAAGCAAATGGGCTGCTGCTCTCTTGGAGCTGCTTCTGATTATAAGAAACAAGACCACAACCTGCCTGCAAAGTGTTTTCTGCCCATGTCTTAAATGTAAATGGCTACTACATAAGTGGACAATGATGGAAAATCAGCTTCTCAACCATGTATATTTATGTCCTGAAAAAAGTGTGGATAGGCTTTTCTCCATATTGGGTGTTACATGAAATTATTATTTAATTTTTCCATTGTCTCCCTGTATGTTCACTTCGTCATGCTGCTTACACAGGGAGGTTTCAGATTCGTTCTCACAATAGGGATGGAATCTTGGGTCCAAAGATCCCCACGTGAGGGCAGAAAGCGCTTCTGTTCACCTTAAGGCTGCTGTTTTGCTTTTGAGAGGGTCCCCCTGGAGTGGCTTCTCCCGAGCAAGCTACAGCCAGATGAAAAATCAGCACAGCCGTGTGTCAGTGGAAACACTTTCTGCTTGCACACAGGGATCTCTGAGTAAGCCAGCCCTCAAAAAGCAATATCCAAAGCCAAGCTGAAACTAAAAGATCGGTTCATTTACTGTGGGTTCAGGCAAAGTGGTTTCCTGTCTGTCTAGGTCAGAGTATTGGAGAGAGAAAGAACTGCATCCCACATCCCTGGGCGGAGGGCAGAGTTTTAGTGTTATTCCTCTATATATTCTCAGAGCTTTAGCCACGTTCATCATATGCAAGTCAGTGCCAGCCATGCAGATAAAAATCTAAACATTTAGAGATCAGTTTTCAGTAACAAACAGCACTCAGCACTTAGCCTGTTGCATTGAGATAACTGTAAATAACCACTCAATATGTACTGTTTCATGTTTATCAGTTAGATGTTATCTCCCATATTTGTTTCATATCTACAGTAGCATGGACTGAGTTTACTTAACAATGTTTTCTTCTATGGACGCTACAAATACTGTGGTGGGGGAGGGAAGCACAACAGTATTTTTTAAAATTGTACTGGCACAATAGCTGTGTCTTTACTATCGCTCAGTTTTGAATGAATGGCAGCATTTCACTGTAAACTGCTATACTAACAACATATTCTCCTTTTTAAAAAACAAAGCATCCTTTTGGGATAGGAGATATGTGCATATATGATAAGTCTCATCTAATCTCATTCATCTGCCTTTACAAAATGCCCCATCCAAAATGGGAGAGTCTGCTGCTTTTGTTGTATATATTACTTCTATTTTAGGGATGGAGCAGGACTGAAAATTACAGTGTTCTTGTAAGGGCATTTTGCAATGGTAACAGCATCATGCATGCTTTGTTGCATCTTTGTATTTACTAGAAATGTCTTGTTTTCACCTTTTATTTTTCTGTAGAGAGCATACCACTTTAACTCCCCACCCCCACCCCTCCGCTGTCCATCTTGCACCATTAATAGAACTTCACATATAATGGTATTCGTATCAATGTTTCCATATCAGCCGCATTTTAACATCAATGAAAAGGAAATGTGATTTTTTTTTTTTGTTATACTAGTTTTTTGCTGATCAGCTAAATATTTCTGCACCAATCAGCATTTAAATATGCATGTGGTAGTCTGTATTGTACAGTTGTTCAACATCAAAATACTTGTTTATTTTCTGTCAAATGTCTGTAAAATGAATGGCATTGTTCTCCATTTCAGTCTGCCAGAATAAGCAGAATAGTCAATAAATGTGTAAATGAATCATCTGTGTCTCATTTCAGTTCTCTGCATGAAGCCACTTTACATTAAACATTACATACATACCAAAATGTCAATCCATAAGTGACTTTGGGTTTCATTATGGGGGGAAACAAACTTAAAACCTATTGGAAGAAATATACAGGATGATGATGGGATAAGAAAGGGTGCTTTGCATTGTTCATACTTTGCTTCAATAGCTAATTCGTTCCCTTACAAGGCATCTCAGCCCAATTCTCCTAGGTTATGTCTACATGTAGCCCTCTTTTTTACTTCTCCGTTCCACTATAGATTGTCCCTTGTTGTATCTTGATTTTCTTCTATTGGTAGTTCCTCTCCTATACTGTTAGGTCTCACAAGTCTTAAATCAGTAACTTCAGGACGGGATCATTTCCCTTGCTTGCTGCTTCCACAGCAAACACTTGGCTATGAAGATAACCCACTGAGTGTCACTTCCACACCAAATGTGTATAGCACAAGGCATCCCCCCAAGAATCCTGGGAACTGTAGCTTGTTAAGGGTGCTGGGAAATGCAGTTCTGTGCAGGGTAAACTTATGCACCAATTGGTTTAAAAGTAAAAAGACAGTCAGGTGCACTGCTGGCAGCCTCTCTGCATTCCTGTGCGCACAAGAAAGCCCATCTGTGGATATTATGGGATTGTCTGCAAATGCAGGCACTCAGGAAGGCTGCAGAGTGCAGACCACTGGAGGGATGATTTGCAGAATAAAATGAAGGATGCCTCCCAAAGACTCCTTGTCAACTTTGAAAATAAGATAGGCACACATCACCTGTGAGAATTTCACCAACATTTCCAGTCTCCTCTTTATTTTTTGAACACAATTTCTTTTTTCATTAATTACTAAATAATGCTGTTGGTGTTGGTTTTTTTTTTTAAAAAAGGGAAGAAAGCAAAGTCAGCACAGCACATTTTGTAGCTGTTCCCTGAGGAGCACTGATGTGATTTTCAGTTTCTGTGGTGTCTTCCTGCTGTTACACCCTTCCTTTCCCATTTGCCTGCTCCTTCCTGCATGGCTAGCTGCATTCTTCTGCTTGGTCTGACTCTTTAGAACACAAATATTTTTGCTTTACATGGGAGGAGCTGAATTTTGACACCGCTGACTTCTATCACTCCTAGGACTGCCTATGCAAGCAATGGGAGACTTTGGGCTCTCAAATTTCAGCAGCGCCCTGTGCGATGCTAAATTCAGTGCCCTCCTCATGCCTCTTGCACTCTGTTCTACATCATTGCGGTGGCGCCCCCTGCAGCATCAGCACACAAGTGCAGCTGAACTGGTCGCGCTACCCTAAAACCACTTCTGATGTAAGCTTTCTTCTTGGGATCTCATGTGCCCTGTTTATCTGACTCATTCTCAAGAGTCTATAAGTGTGTACATTATAGAAGGCTTCTGGCTGCCAGTACAAGAGCACCTAAACCCTTCAGGGGAAGAGACAGACACAGAATCTCCAAGTATGGGGTAACAGGTTCAAGAGAAAGAGGCTTTTTAACCAGAGGGCAGCACATTCCAGTACAGAAGTGCAAGAGATGCATTTTCAGGATGACATAATATACACCAAGGGTAGAGAGCTGGATCATTTGGCATCATGGTATGACAGTGAAGGAGCTATGGGGAAAATCAGTTTTTTTACAACAACAACATTATTATTTAAATGGCAGAAATCACTTTTTGGCATCATTGCGGTTGACATCATAGCAGTCAAAAGAAAAATGTTCAAACATCTTTTAATTTTTTTAAAAAAAAATACAAATCACAGGGTTACTACCCCTGTTATAGCATGTGTCCTATTATGTATTTCAGTTGCATTCTTTATAAGTAACTAATATAATTGTCAGCTATGCAGATCATTAATATTCTTTCAATTTATTTTATATTCGGGCATTTTTCTCTGAGAACACTGCACAGGGCAAAGGGTTACGCCCCCTCCTCCATGGTGCAGTCCCAATCCAAATTTGGGATGGGAAGCATAGCTGCTATTTAAAAAAAATAAAGATATGAAAATACTTACTGTAACACTATTTTGTCCCTGACTCCCATTTCCATAGGCAATAGTTTCTTCATTGTGTACAGCTATATATACAAACAATTGAATCAGTAAAGTTCTTTATCTTAGTAAAAAGTTCATAAAAAGTTAACAATTTGATTCCTGAAAACAGCCCACAGTTGTCTTATCAGCAATAGCCAATTTTGCTGATTTGTTTCCTGCCTAGACAATCTTGGCTCACGGCAAACAGCACTGCATCATGCTGACCTCGCTGTCACCTCCCCCTCTACCTCCTGGAAGTCAGTTGGGTGGCAGTGCCCCACCGTGCCATCTGCTACTGGTTCAGGTGGCTTTTCGCTCTCTACACCACCCCTCCTAATCACCAAAATATCCCTGCCCTCCCACACAGACACCTGTGAACAGAAGAATGGACTGCAAGGGGCAATTTCAGATCAGTGCTAAGGAGGAAAGTTTCACCATCTGCTTTTTCTTTACACACAGTGTAGAGTGGTATCTCAGGTTACAGACTCCGCTAACCTTGGGTTAAGAACTTTGCTTCAGGATGAGAACAGAAATCGTGCAGCAGCGGCGCAACGGCAGCAGAAGGCCCCATTAGCTAAAGTGGTGCTTCAGGTTAAGAACAGTTTCAGGTTAAGAACGGACCTCTGGAATGAATTAAGTACTTAACCTGAGGTACCACTGTATAATTTTATAAAATTATTTCCTTCCATTTATCTTCTATCATCAGCCAGATTTGCACAAAGACAGTATTTATTTACAAATAAGATTTGCACACTGAGACATTCTCCCCACCTCCATTGACATAAAAGACCTGCACTTTGGCTGGACCATGCCCTTTCTCTTAAATTCCAGTGCTGTGACATCCTCTGATGTTAGCATTTGCTCCAGTATCTCAATATTTTCAAAATCAATCCCCGGTACCTGCAAATGTCTTCTCTAACAGTCTGCATCTAGTCTTTGGCTCTTATAACTACCAAAAGGCCACCATTCCTTCCTTCATATCCTGTCCATTGCATTCAAAGTGTCTTCAGGGGAGTTTGCATGTGATTAGGAGTGGATGCAGCTTTCTTACAAACAGCCTTGCATTAACCGATATTTATTGTACTCTATTTAAAATATTTGACACACACACAAAAGAAAATGATTTTTGTAAGCGTTAAAAGACCATTGAGCAGTAAGAATGAGAACAATTGATCTGTAAATAAAACGTGAAGTCAGGCAGAATTCGAGACAGGAAGGAAACGTGACAAAATGAAGGCATCAGACTAAAGGAGCTTGGGGTGATTCTGACAGGGAAAATGGTAAGTGTGGAGGGATCAAGCACCATTGCCCTCTTCCCTGTTTTAAAGAGCTGATCAACATTCAAAATATGAAGTAAGAGGGTCAAAACTAATTATATTTTCAGAATTTGGACAGTGTGATTTATTTCCATGACAGTGCAGAATTATTTGTTTATTAAATATCTACCGAACTCTTCCTTCTGAAAGAGCCCAGCATAGCAAACATAACAAGATACAAATCAATTAAAACTGCTTAAAAGTATCTAACTGCAATTCCAATAAAGATGGGGAAAGATCTCGTCTTAAAAGACTTGTTGAAAGAAGGTCTTAAGCAGGTGCCAAAAAGACAGAAGAGATGGCACCTCTCTAATATTTAACAAGAAGGAATTTCAATGGTCAGTGCTAAAGGCCTCATTCCTATATTGTGCAGAATGGACCTCCTGTTAAGATGACATCTCTGCAGAGCACAGTGATTAGGGTTTTCTTTCTACAAGCCCAAGTTCTAGCCAATGGGTACCCAGCTGAAGTAAAACCAGTGTTTCAGACCAATCCAGTTTAAGGTTTGCCATCCTCCAGAAATCATGCTTCAGCCTATCTACAAACCAAGCTTGGGCCAATTCAAAGATAACATTCCCCCACTGAAGCATCCCTTACTCGTCTATGGAGTGGTGGCACACACTGTTAGCAGGTTCTGGTGCAATCTCACATGATACCACCAAAATCTCACAAAATCTCTTCTTGTGAGATTTTGGTGAGATCTCATGAGATCTCACCAGAAATCGTCACTGATGCCAGTGCCACTTTTCTAACGGTGGCAAGGGGAGCAGGCAGGGTGCCCACAGGGATGAACCCTCAGCAGCTTCTGCTGCCCAAGGTAGCTGCTTCACACTGTGTCAGGGGTGGGCTGGCCCTGAGCCCAGACATGATGGCATGGGCCATCCTTGATTGGATCTCCCAGAACTTCCCCTTCCCCCCTTTAAAACAACTGTTAGATTTTCCTTGGAGCAGCCATGCTAGGAGAAAAAGGTGTTCAACCCACATTTCCACTCTAAATCAACTCCATCAGCTGCTATTGTCCTGATCAGAGAATGCACTTCACTACACTAGAATTCTTATCGTGTCCAGAAGAGATTCATGGAGAATCTACTAGTCTCATTCATTTCTATTGATAGTGACTAGTGAAAGCTGAAATGGGATAATTTCTTTACAAAAAGAAGCATTGTGTTGGCAGATTTTTATTAGATTATACAACTAATCATGATAAGATTTTTATTATTCTTATTAGATTTTACAACTAGCAAATCCTTAAAATGTTTTTTGTAAGGCATATCATTAAAGGTTGATGATGATAATGATTAACATGTACCCTGCCCATCTGACTGGGTTGCCCCAGCCACTCTGGATGGCTTCCAGCAGAATATAGAAGAACACAACAAAACATCAGACATTAAAAGCCTCCCGATACAGAGCTGCCTTCAGATGCCTACAGAAGATCATATAATTGTTTATCTCTTTGATGTCTGATGGAAGGGCATTCCACAGGGTGATTCTAATTTTGTTATAAAGTGAAGACTTTCTGTTAATGACATAAATCTTTTAGAAAGTAATCAAAGAGCAAATTTTCAAACGTATTAATTATCCTTTTATAAACAGCTGGTGTACTTACTATTTTATCAGCTGGAGAAGGTTGGGTTTTAA